GGTTGAATTTTCAATAAAGAAAGTCACGATTGATGGTTTCAAGAAAAGGCCAGGGTACAAAGAGAGAGAGAGATGTAGAAAAAACAATTTGGTGTGTAGAGAGAGATACGAAGAACATTTTTTGTGTGTAGAGAGAGATACGAAGAACATTTTTCAGGAGGAATTGTTCATGAAGACATCGTTGGAGCATTTCATGACAGCAAAATTAGACACAATAAAATCATTTCATAATTTAAGAACAAAATTATACAAGTTGCTTAAGTTTCCCTGAAAATCTAGTTTAGAAGTTTCGAACTATTTCATAGTTTATTATTTCAGTAATATACATATAGTAAGACAATACAACAGGAAAATGTTTAACGATACTTTGTACAAGTTTTTATTACATCTTCGTTTACGCTGTTATTCTTCCCTATTAGGCATAAAATACAATATAACTTCAAGGTTATTTTATATCTCATATTTTGAGTCATTACGTAATTTAAATTAAACATTTTTCAATATTTTGGTCCATTTAATCATATATTAAAGGGGTGATTTTGATGTTTCAATACCAAACGGTTAAAATGTGCATTTTATATCCTTTTTTTGCATAATTATGGGTTTTCAATAACCACAATGACAGCTAAAGTCCGTCAGCGCATTAAAACATAAATATATGAAATATTACATCTCTTCCTCTAACATCCATCATATTGTTAGCTCAGTTGAGAAAACAAGCTGTCGACAGTGACGATTACCTCCGCACTACTGATCCTACCATAAGCCTAAGATAAGATCAACACTACAACTAGGAGAAAGACCATTCGTCAAATCTTCGCTTCAGAAATAATCTGAATTTATCGGAAAAATCCTTTAATCCTAAGTTGTGTTCGGGGTTATACTGAATTGCGTTGCTAACACTTTTAACTTTATCGAAAAATGTACTGTAAAAGGCAAAAAATCTAATCTCAAGAAGAATGCTGGACAATATATATTAACATACTTAGAAAATAATTTTCATTTCTTTACTATAATATATTCCACAATAACCCATACATTGTAATTTGTCACCAGAGTTATATTAAAACTTAATTAATCATGCAAATTATTTCAGTGTTTCAAAAGCATAAAATTATCGATTTGTTTGATGAATAATAACTAAAATTTATGAAAGCAGTTGATAAAATAGTTGAGCAACCATACTGCAATAATTATTTTGGTCAGACCAGTTGTGGGTTAGGACATATGCAATTGGTCAAAATCTTGAAAATTTGTTTAATCTTATATTTGTCTAAATTACTTTCATTATCAGTTTTTTTTGTGACCGACTAGAGAATAGAAACTTTTAGGAACTAATTTTGAAGTCTTTAAGTAGAAACAAAATACTTGATTTTTTTGAAGAAAGAAACAAGTATTTACAGAAATTTATTTAATGCAATTAATCAATAATGATAGAAAAATACACGAGGTTGGCAAGGTTGAATACCTTTTCCAATTACATTTATTTGAATTATTCGGTTGAGTTATTTCAACGCTATTTTTTAAAAGGAACTTAAATGAAGCATGTAAACAAGCTAAATCCATCAGACAGCATTGTACAGCAATAAGGCATTTTATATATAGAAAACTTAGAAAAGAAACTTGTTACAATTCTAGAAATGAGAATAATTTTATATTTTTGTTGCTTTACAATGGAATATTCAATAAATATGATTATAAAGTCTTATTTAAAAAATACTTTTAATTTTTATATATTTATATATTTTTATATAGATTTTACGAAGGGAGATATGTTTTAGTAACAGGGAGATTTTCTTTGTTTTAGTAACAAAAAGTAAATACTTTCAACGAAATATTAAGGCTGATCGTCTTTAGGTTTTTAACACTGTGGAAATGTACGAATTTTTCGTATTTATTTTCTTTCTGAATTATAAAACCGGACATTCTAGATTGAACTTCAATTCAGAACTAAACAATGATTTTTGTAATATGTGGTAATACTTGGTTTGTATATATTTCATTACTTACAAATCAAAATTGGTTAGGCGTGGTCAGTGGTTAGCTTGTTAGGCTGTAGATCCGAGATCCGAAGTTTCGTGTTTCGAACGGAAAAAAAGCGCTTAGCACTTTGTGGTCGTGAGTTATAATAAGAGTGACAACCAATCTCACTATTCATTTAGAATAGCCTAAGAGTTGGCTATCTTTCCTTTAGTTACAAGTTCCAAACTGAGGACGGCTAGCATAGGTAACCGATGTGAAGATCCAAAACAAACACACAAACCAAACCAAAATTACACAATAAATACTTGATCTTGTATTTCTATTTTATATTTATGTTAAAACTACTAAGGGTATCTATTTTTTTAATACTGAACAGAAGGAAGGCAGCCATTCCGCAACATCCTAAAGCCTATGCTAAATGATTGAATATCAATTGTATAACATACACATACAGCTTGAATTCGAACCCAGTTCGACCGACTCTGAAAACCCGAGTTCTACAACTACTCAATCTACTCCTGAATTTTAATGATATGGATCGGAACTGCAGTTTAAGGTTTATATTTATTAATTGCTAAACTTTCGATCAATAGGATCCTTTATATTGTTATGTAATGGCCATACAGTTTCATCTATATCTTTGTTTCAAAGAGAACTTAATTTTAGCAACACACAGTAATTGATGCTGTTCCATCAGCAGTTTGACATTAGCATAAATAAAACTACTTATGCCAAATATTCTCTATTCGGCAGCTAAAATACGTTTTTAACAAAGAAAACATATCCTCCATAGTTGAGGCTCAGTATCGTAAGCATAGTGTGATGATTTGGAGCATCGAATTAACGCTTCTCTGTAAGTAGGCTATAATATTTATTTGTTTCGGCTTTGGCCATGTTCGCTGTCAAGCTTTATAGTACCTTAACTTCCGCTCTTAAGATGCTTTGAAAATGTGGCAAAAATAGATGTCTGGTAGCAGGAAGTGACATTGAAAGGTGATTACAACAGATATCCGTAGAAGGTGATGACATAAACTGCTTTAAAAATGTGGAGCTTCGCAAGTATTCAAAGCTCTATTAATAACATTGTGTGTTAATAACGTGGTAACGTTGAATAAGGTCATAAAATAGTAATACTACATGTGCACCGAAGATGGTGACATTATATACGTTTAGTACGTGATGATAGTGCATGTTATCACATATGTAAGCATATAACAGCACTTTCGTGTTGTAAAATCACGATAGAGATAGAGGTTTTAAAGCATATCAGCTACATGGGTATATTTTATTGCCTACAACATCAAAGACAGCACCATTCTTCTAAAACACGAAATCATAGGATCATTCCACAAACTTTGGTTGTTTTAAGATAGCACTTAAAATACTAAAAGCTAATTTTCTTCTCAGTTCGAACCTTCTGAAACAAAACTTAAACTCTAAGAACTTTTTTAGAAATGAAATCATATCTGCCATATCCAGCACTGACGACGTATTTCGTCCAATAGTAGGGCTCATCACGTCGGCTGCAATACGTCAGACAAACTAGTGGTTGAGAAAAATTATATATTATCATATTTCATGAAAAACAACTGTTATGGTGTGAACTATCTTAAGATGGCGAAGTGTAATGTTATCAATTTGATACGAGTCAGTTAGAAATCAGAATTAGAGTTATTATTAATAATATAATATTATTTACTTATTCTAACACCAATTATTATTATTCATTTTTACGTGAAATAACTTTACTTATCATTGAAAACAAAACTGGCTAATCTTCAAGTTGTACTTATTGTTTACAGAATGGGTCAAGTAAGCACAGCGTCAATGTAATCATAATCTCGTTTTTTTAAAACAAGGACATTGATTAATAACGCCGACTGTAATTACATGAGATATTTCTTGAGGTTTAGTAATATCATTATTTATCTATAATTATATATATTTAAACATGTAACTATTGCAACCAAGACACAAAATATCTTTGCACATAGAGGCTAAACTATTGTTTAAAGACATAAATATACCAAGTGAGCGCATTAAACTATGATCGATTGTGGATTATGCTTACTTTTCAAATTCTTGCAGTAAAATACATTGCTAAATCGCTGGTCCTGCTTTCAATTCTTATAACTAATTAGTATAAAGCGCAAAAAGATAATCAGCGCTTTTATAAACGTGAGCGCATTTTTGTTGTTGTTGTAAATCTCTATTTAAAGTGTTTCTAGAAGAAAACTATTATTAACATATTTGGCAAATTGATATTTTTTATCAACGGAATGCAATATTTTTGTGACAGTTATGTATAAAAAATTATTATTGTTATTCATGATAATTAAGATAAATAAGTAGAATCTAAGCGGTTAAAGAAATAAACTTCTGGGACAATAATTTGAGTTTATAAAACTTTAAGAACACTATATGAGCTTTATCATTGTTGAAAAAAAGTATTATCGAATTGTATTTGTTTACTTTGCAGACCAGTTATTAAAAAAAAGTCTAAGATTAACTTAGAACTTGATATACATAAGACTAATACTTCATCTTTTTTACTCATTTAATGTTGCGTGTTATATTGTTTTGTAAGATAATTAGAATAAATTGTCATTTTGTTGTCTGAGATATTACGTTTTACAGTTCAAACAAAATTCATCAAATTATCTCAGTAAATTTACAGATATTGCTACAATAACAAAATGTTCTGTTCTGTGTATAATTCCGTCACGAAGACACGACATAAGATTTGATGTAGAAGCACTTGTAACTTTTATATATTCAACTGTATTATGCAATACTCCCATGTTTAAGTAAATATCGTTATTATAAGTTATCACGATGAAATACATCACTACTATAGCTGATATGGCAAGTGAAACGTTCGACATTCGTTAAGTTTACATGTGTTATTTATCTTTAGATGTTATTTTAGTAAATCCTCTCCACATTGTTAAACCTTGGAGAAAACCTTTTGTATACGCAGAACTGTGATACAACCAATCGTCTTTTTTTCTTTTTAGTCACCTAATGCAATTGGAGAATATTGATCGAGCAATGCTACAACATAGATGCGATAGCACTTCAAGATTTTCCCCTTTCAGACATGTTTGACTGTTGACCAAAACGTTCCTGTACAAAGAACGTGAAAGTAAAACACACAAAAAAATCAAATCAAAATGATTTCTTCTAACATGATGTCTTTTATGAAGAAGGTGAGAGTTCATGAGTTTTTCTTCCTAAACAAAAGAAATTGTAAAACGTTCAGCTATCATAAGATATATGAACTTTATTGTCAAAATTACGAAAAAGGAGAAAAAGAGAGCAAAATATTGAAGTAAAATTATTTAAAAAATCGTTTAGATTCTTAGAATAAGAGCGAGTGAAGTAATTTCAAAAATATCTTAAATCACATTAAAATAATTTATATAAGAAAATTCTTTTAAATCTAGTTCACAAATATTTTATCTGTATGTTTTGGTTTTGTCCATATGTTTTGTCTAAGTTGTTATGAAATGTTCAAATAGAAACAGTATACCTATTTCCTTATGTTATATCAAACTTTCTCGACGTTGATTACAAGAAAAAACAACAACTAATATTATGCACATCACCAAGTACAGTCTGTTATACTAAAGCAATTTAGAATATGCAAATCAGCAAGTCACATGAAAATTTAAAGTCGAGGTGGCACATAATGTATCATAACTACTATTTGACTTTATCTTTCGTAGAGAGTGTATTGCCATTGAAAACAAACCAATGTTAAAAAGGGTATGTGACACCTTTCTGACGCAAAAATATTTATGACCTGAGATTATATAGATATATTCAGATCAAGGAGTTAGAATTTCCAAGACAGAGATATCCATGTACTAAATGACGTTTGAGAGAAAGGAATATGGACAAAATTAGGAACTAGGACCATCCAGAAAGAGACCTGCAACAAGTTATATCTCAGTTGTGATAAGCAGCGTTCACTGCCTTGCAACAGATGAGACTCCACTAACACAAAGGTCATTGATAAAAGCATCCACATGTTTCAACCAATATTATGCACCATGATCAAGAATGATCTCTGTCTGAAAAAGCGACAAGTGTACAGAAGTTGCGTCCATGAGATACCTATTGGATACCTTAAGTAGCTGGGGAATGAAATGGATATTCATGCTATTCTATACAAAGGCATACCATTCCAGTTGTCTATGGATTTCTGTGCGTTTGAGCTGTTAAAACATGAGTGTTGTAAAAGCGTTGTACTCATACACTAGATGAGTCATGGAAAGCTAGCAAGGAGTAATCGTGTACTTTTCAAATGGCAAATTCTTACGACGAAGTATTTTGCAATGGGGACTGCACTGCAGTACTATTGTGAAAACTCTGTCGTCGGATAGAGTATGATCGGACGTAGAGACATGATCTGTAACGATTTGGTGTGGATTTAAACTTATTTTAATGTAACGTTCTCAACTTGTGTAATATGCCATTAATTGTATTAAATGTTACAGTAATTAATATTAATAAGTATGGACCCTGACAAAGAAGTCAAAGTTACTATATATATATATATATATAGCAATATGTGTAATTAGTATTTTTTGGATTTTCTAGACAAATACTTAAGATATTTCTTCTGGGCATCTTAAGCACGTTCATACCTTTTAACAATTTTCAGCCGCTTCACTAAGGAGTTTGTAATAATAATAAAAAAATGAGAATTGTTATTTTAACTCTCAGATCGTGAAGACTTCTGAAAATGAGGACGGAGCAACTTCAGGTCCTATCAATAAGCTGAAGCAGACGTTTACAACGGGACTTCAGGAAATCTCATTAACTCGTGATCGAACTGCTCCCAGCAAAGCAGGTAAAACAGCAACGCCTCGTCTAACGGACAAAGAGCGCTCACTTCTTCGAATGGTTTGGGAAAAGGATGATCACATAGAACAGGAACCTCGTAAAGCAAGGTTCGTAGATATTATGATGAATTAAGTTTGAAATTCCTTCTTAAAATGTGATGTTTATACAAGATGTCGGAAGCGAAAACCTTGGCTGGAAATGCGTTAATATATGGAAAGCCCACTTCAGAGGATACGTTTTATTTGTCAATCCGCATGTCTGATTTTAAGAATATGCTGGCATATTTCCTTATTTTGTCTAAGCAGCCGCCTTTCCACAACTGGCTGCAAATAGTTAAAGGTGGCATAGATGTGGGTAAAGCATGCGACTCTGGAAAATAATATATACCTACCTATTTGTATATCTGACTTCTGTAGATACCTCAAAACCCAAAATACATATTATAATTATCCAAACTATAATTTGTAGCTTGATATTAATATTTTAGTGCTGTCCTTTCTCTTGCCATTTTGTTCTTTTTACTTGTGTAGCTTCATAGTTTTATACCATAATAACCATATGTTAGAAATTACTGCATATATGTTTTCCTTATTTTTAAATATCATTTTATTAGATATATATATATATATATTTCTCAATCTATTAAAGATTAAAAGCAAACTATTTCTGACAATGAAATACTTTCAATTAAAGTTTACCAAGGCCAGTAGAGACCGTGACTCAAAGGATTACATCAGGAGATAGTTGTCGAATATGTCGAAAGAATATTTCTTCTGATGAGCAGAGCAGGAAATGTGACGAATGCGGTCAGTATGTATGTGAAGATTGTGCTTCTTACTCCAGAGACCCAAATGACTCCTCTCAAGTATGAATGATTTTGTTAATATGTTTATTAAAATATATTAATCTGAAATAAAAAAGAATTTTAAAGTGTAATTAAACTGATGAGCATTTTAACTGAGAAGGGTTTCAAACTACAACTGTGTACCTAAATGTGGCTTAAAGTTTTTAAATACAGCATCTACCAATAGAAGTGGACGACGCTTCGGTTCTACTTCAGTACAGAGATTGAAGCATTGTCTTCAACTTCAAGTAGACGTAGTCCATAAAATGTTCAAAACTAGTACATTATACTTAGCTTCAAACTTCTTCAAAATAAGATTTGTATTTTATTATTTCTATATAAACTTTCTTAATGTACTTCATAGCATTTTAGTGAACATCAAAGCTACTAGTTGTAGCATTATATTACAGATATAAACTTAACGTTTAAGATTCAAGGGAATTAACCGGAAATTACATTAACAAACATTAACGCTCTAAAACTGATACTAATCATTACAACGTATATTCTTTACGACAACTGAACACGGATATTTCCAATGATTTTGTTGTATATTCGGGTGTATATGTTACCTTGATAACAGTTAGCATGACGTTGTCTCTTTGGATGAATAACTGCTCGAAAACCGCTGATGGTAACTAAACTAAAATGCTGGAATGGGCTTTGAACAACAACAAGTGAAATGAGCGAAGCTGGAGATTTATGTTCTTTAGAGAAGAATCCACGTTCGAATTGTTCGGCCACAATTAATGACACTTTGTTTGGCGGTACCACAGCCAATAAGTCCACAAAACAAAATAATCTCTATAAGTAAAGTATAGTAATAAAAAAATAGAGAAAAAAATAAACATTCTAACCAATAGTGTTAATAAATGTAACATTAAAGAAAGAAAAATATTCCTTACTTACGAAACACATTATCATTAGTTGTTAGCTTCAAGTAATGTTTGTTAAAAATATAACAAATTATTCACTTGTTTTGATTTTCTGCTATAGTGGGTTACATTATTGATAAATTCACCATCGAGTTGCCAATATTCATTGTTCCAGACTTCTGTAAATATATTGCTAATATACGTAATGATTATATAAACATAAAATTATATAACATGAGATAAACTGATTATCATATATAACAAACAAACGATAAACCGTACAAATCTAAAAAAAGGCTAAAAAGTTTTAAATAAAAGCACGAAAGTTAATAAACAACATCAGTAAAAGAGTTATAAATAACATGGTCTATGACTGACTAGTTGAGAACTAAGTTTAGAGCAAAACTAAGGTGATATGTTCTACTTAATGGAGATAGACACGCAATTGTTTTTCTTATTTTCGTGTCTTACTGTATTATATTACAGCCTGTGAAAAGCTTTTTCAGAGCTGTAGATTTTATGGCGTATCAATCAAACACTTTCTTAACCTTACCATAGCCACAGTCATTTGTATGTGCGATATTCCCCCCTTTGGTGTTGCATCTCGTAAAGTTGGATTAATCTGATATATATATATATATAACCCCATGATCTCTCATCCCCCACCCCCACTAGGCCAGTGATGCATATTCTCATCCTATAGAGTTTTACATTGCTTTAGGTATGGCAAATGACTTGGTGAAAATAAGCACACGCCACTGTGCTATTTCATTAGTTGTAGAAATAAATATCATTAAATTCTTTCTGATTGAAAGGTGTCTGTGTATGTCATAAAAGCACACCAAATTATATCATGTTATGAATATTTAAGTTCAATCTTTAAATATATTTCATTCAAATTACAAAGTGGATCTGATCCTTTTGCTTCTTATTTTACTTTTCACAATATCCTTTTACATTTTACTGTAGGAATGGAAATGTAGCTTCTGCAGAAGAAGGCAGGGTCAAGATCGATTAGGGTTAGAACCTCCACCAGGGTCAGGCATGCATCGAGTGCCATCAGTTCGTCGAATGGTAATTTTGTTTACGTTGCCATATCTTCAACTACAGATATTCTGCTATAAACATATTACTAACAAATTAAATTTTACATCTGATTCTGGACAACTGTTATATTTAGTGTTGGTTTAGCACAGCAGCGTTGCTAATGGAAAGTACCTACATACCTAGGTCTACATCTACAATATGTCTATTAATCACAAAGTTAATCTCCCTTCCTGTTTAATATCAAATACTGTATTTCTTATGCAGGTCAAAATAAAAGTCTATATGTATGGATTAGAAATTTTATTTTCTTGGTGGAAGCATTCATTGGCTCAGCCCTAAAGTTGAAAGCTTACACGCTAAAAATTGGGTTTCGAAATCCATCATGAGGACAGCGCAGATAGCCTATTGTGTCGCTTTGCTCTTAAACACAAACAAGCAAATAAAAACATTTGGTAGGGTTTTCGAAAAATGCTTTAGATTCCTAACTGATGCCAAGTCCAAGATTTGACTAGATATCGCTTATTCTTTTTTCTGATAGCAATCACGGGATATAATACAATAACACAATAAAAATAATTTAATACAAACTTTAACCACAGTTCCACTTTCTCTCTACTGTAACAAGCATTTCAGCAGCATCGTGTCATAGGTAGCACTTAACAAAGCACTTAATATCTCAATATAAGCTAATATATATATATATATACGTTTGTTAACTCCAAAAACAAACTTTGGTTCACTGGTTTTACAGCGGGCAAACGGTATTTGTAACTTTATTTGCTTAGTTACATCTGATAGATAAAACGTGATTGCTAATGATAGTATAAAATGTTTCATCCACCTCTGAAGCTTCGAAATAACATCGTCTCCAAACTAAAAGTTATGTATATTATATTCAGTTATTTCTTACTTTGTTCATAATTTTCAGCTACCATTATTCATCCTTTTTATCGAATTCTATGTGGTAAAGTCTTATAAATTTAGTTTCATTACCAAACTGTGGTCAAACTAATTTCATAATTGCTCTACTTATAAATCCTCATGTAGGCACAAAAGGCAAGGAAGGAAAGCCCAGAAAGTTCATTCTCGACTCTTGATGCAGGCAGCGACCTTGACGTTTTGCAACCATCAGATGGAAGAAATGGTGCTAAATACCGTTCACTAAAGGATGAAAAGGTGCCATCCTTCAGTGTTATCCCTAAGAATTTTAAAGACTTAAACATAGGTGTAGCGAATGAAATAACAAGTAAAGAAAGATTAAGGGTACAAAAGCTACACGTGACAGGAGACAATCATGTGAAACAGAGTTCTTCCAGAAGAAAAGGATGTAGACCACCTGTAGAAAGACAGAAATCCATTGAAGTTCCAAAAGAGAACAAAAAAAAGGGAAACGTTTTAGCTACTTCAAAAGAATATTTTTCAAGGCCCTCATCTCCAGATAAACGGTTCAGAGAGCGATATCTTTCATCTGAAACTTTAAGTGATCGTCGTTCCTCATCAGAGTCCACGAAGGATGCAATTAGATCAAAGTTGTTGTCCTTTCAAATTGTTCCTCGAACAGTGAAACCTAGTGGATCCGATCGTATAACACATCCGTCACATACGAACCATATTCGGCAGTCCAGACTTTCTTCTGCTTCCGAGAGTTCTTTGGAAGAGCGTTATATTAGAGAAGAGCAGGAACGTAGGCGAAGAAGTAGACATAAACGTCGGTCGAAATTCCAGCGACAGAAATATTACGTTGAAGAACCAGATTCGGATCCAATTTATTATAGAGACGACTACTTGCCAAAAGCAAATATGACAACTTCGCTGGAATCAAGCAGCGCTCTTGAGAGCCTTGAGAAGGACCTAGACAACGTCTCGAAACGTTGCCATAATTTGGGAGTACCGAAACCTACAGAAAACCAACTTCGACATATTGTATCTGAAACGGCTCTGTACATACGGAGATTCAGTTCTGAAAGCTCCGATGCGAGCGATGTCAGTGGAGATATATCTACACACAGTGATCGGAGCGGTTGCAGTGTGACTCACGAGGGTTATCATAATGGAGGAAAACTTGCAGTTCGCAGTATTAGAGTTAAACGGAAAGATATTAAACATCATAGGAGTACACCTTTCTCAAAAGGCGGTTCTTTCAGTCCAACAGGAACAGTGGATAGTTCTCCATCCCCAGATGATCATTCAAATCTTTCTACAGATAAATCATGTTCAATAGACGATGGAGATATTTTCAACGTATCGTCCCCAGGCATTAGAAGAAGTATTCCTTCTGTACTGGTAGACTCAGTCGTAGACCATGAGAGGTCTCTTTTTACAACTGGTCTATATGTCAAAGATGGTCCCTTTCCAAGAAGAAACAGTACCGGAAGAACTCTTCCTCAGCTCCCTGCACCGGAAAACCAGCTTGGTCTGCATCCTTCGTCACAAAGTAAAACCCGCAGTACTCATTCTCTTGATCTGCCCAGAGAAGAAACTGGATGGACAGAAAGAAGAGCGTCAGCTCCTGAGGGAGAAAACATCAAAATCATAATTGATGACGTAGATTCTGACCAAAATGGTAAGAAAAAATGATATATACCTTGTACTTAATTTTCAATATATATAGGTACTAGTTTACTTTCGCTAAGTCTCAAGATAGGCAAAACTACTACCTATCTTATTAGGTAGTCGTTTTTAAGAAATTTACTTAACTTTATGGATGAATACTAAAGATCAAATGATATCAAACTAACAATGCAATAAAAAGTAAGTCATAAATCCATAACCTACACACATTAATTGATTTCAGTATAAAACTTAGAAATTTACTGAATCTTATTTGAACAGTAAAGTTTTCTATTCAAATTTTTCTTGGGTTACGAAACTTCACAACAATTTTCAAATGACTTAACTTCAAAGCGAACTATTAAAGTTTAAACTTGTATTTCGTTTAAAACTTTTCAAACTAATTATTTAAACAAAATAAAGATATATTGTGTAACATAAAATACAAATGAAATACTTATTAAAGATAAAAATAACATTTTTTCTATCAATACATAAACGTTTAACATGATGTGTTCTTATCTCATTCTAATCTCTCCTTTTAGTTAGTGTTAAATAATAGAGTAGCTCAGAACAAAGTTTTCAAAAATACATATGGAATATTATTTATTAAAACGATTTGGGTAATTCAACATCTTGTTATAATACAGCATGGGATTGTGAATATTTATGAATATCAGAAATATCAATAAACTGTCAGAACTATTAGTAATGTATTGCAAATCATATTTTCGTTCGCATCCAGAGGAGAAAACGGCATTTACAAGAGCTTTTATCTGCTATTTGACTTTAAAGTTTCTTATTCAAGGCACGTCTTGAGCACGTGATTAATTTTCACATGGCGTTAATGTTAATGCGGTACTTGTTGTCATACAGCAAAGACCCGTTGATTTCTTTAACTGCTTATTTATTATCTTGAGTTGGTTGCAAAACGTTCAAGAAAAGCATTATAGAGAGTGCAATGCTCAGTCAATTAAATTGGATGACACTAAAAGATTCAACCATAAGAAAGTGGTGAAAAATATTATTTTGGTTCCCCTATAATCCCCACAGTTTCTCTACAAACAAATGAGTAAATTAACAAAATCAAGTCTTGAAACGGTAAAGACGACGTAGGGATTTTGATAAAAGTCTAGAAAAAACGCCTTTACACTCCAGGTAAATATAAAATAATATATTTTTATTTCAACCACCGTTTCGCCTTTGCGGCTTCATCAGGGTTAATA